GGTGGTATGTAGTTTAGGAAACAGGGGGTATGTAGTTTAGGAAACAGGCGGTCAATAGTTTAGGAAACAGGTGGTATGTAGTTTAGGAAACAGGTGGTATGTAGTTTAGGAAACAGGTGGTATGTAGTTTAGGAAACAGGGGGTATGTAGTTTAGGAAACAGGCGGTCAATAGTTTAGGAAACAGGTGGTATGTAGTTTAGGAAACAGGCGGTCAGTAGTTTAGGAAACAGGCGGTCAGTAGTTTAGGAAACAGGCGGTCAGTAGTTTAGGAAACAGGCGGTATGGAGTTTAGGAAACAGGCGGTCAGTAGTTTAGGAAACAGGCGGTATGTAGTTTAGGAAACAGGCGGTATGGAGTTTAGGAAACAGGTGGTATGTAGTTTAGGAAACAGGCGGTCAGTAGTTTAGGAAACAGGCGGTATGGAGTTTAGGAAACAGGCGGTATGGAGTTTAGGAAACAGGCGGTATGTAGTTTAGGAAACAGGCGGTCAATAGTTTAGGAAACAGGTGGTATGTAGTTTAGGAAACAGGCGGTCAGTAGTTTAGGAAACAGGTGGTATGTAGTTTAGGAAACAGGTGGTCAGTATTTTAGGAAACAGGCGGTATGTAGTTTAGGAAACAGGCTGTCAGTAGTTTAGGAAACAGGCGGTATGTAGATGGACCGACGCCAGGCGTTTCCTCAGCGTTAGTGGGCCGACTGACTCGGTTTTCCATCCGGGGTTTGTAAAGCTCCACTTCCTGTTCTTCTTGAGTTTTAAAGGCGGTGTTTTGGTCGGAGCCTAACTCAGTCCATCTTCTCCTTCTGTTTCAGGGGGGAAGGCGCTGCGAGCCCCTTGAACAGCAGGAGGAGACGGCTGGGACGCTCCGACCAGCACATAGAACCAGCTCACATGCTGGCAGGGCGCTGGGCTTACTGGGATCTCACTGGGAGCTTACTGGGATCTCACTGGGAGCTTACTGGGATCTCACTGGGAGCTTACTGGGATCTCACTGGGATCTCACTGGGATCTCACTGGGAGCTTACTGGGATCTCACTGGGATCTTACTGGGATCTCACTGGGATCTCACTGGGATCTCACTGGGAGCTTACTGGGGGCTTACTG